ACCAAAAGCAGCCTGTAGCAAAACCAGTCAGGGTCAACAGAGAACTCTGTGCTAATGCAACTCAACAGTATGAAAGTTACTCCAAACAATGCAGTCATACACTAGGACTGCAAAAGTTAAAGAGGTTTCATATACAGCACTTGGTACATCTAAAAACTTCACAACAGGGGCTGCAAACTTGCTAATTTTGGTTTCTTCAAGTGTTTCATACAGCTACAGAAGTCATCCATTAGACACCTGATGCAACAAACTGTCAAAAAAACCTGCAAGACAAACACCTCCACACCCAGTACAGTTTAGTGAGGTTCAAAGTAATACTTCAGCCTAGATTTTTAAGGCCAAGGGAAAGAATTTATTTCCTTGGGACAAACATCTTAGGAGGCCAGGGTCTAAACAAGGTTTTAAACAGCAGGACATTTGTATGGAGAAGTAAGAACAGTTCTAGATACACAGCAGCTGTACTGCATTCTTCCAGGTTTGCAGCATAGTTTTAAAATATTCTGAAATCCACATTTCTTTTGGAACTCAGCATCTCCCACAAGAGCAGGACAGAATTAGTAAATTCAGTTTAAAGCTGGTAAGTCTCTGGGAAGCAACACTGTCACCTCCTTTTTTTTCCCAAAATAGCACACTTCATCAGACTGATGTTCTCCACCTGAACTCTTCCCAGTTTCCTATTACATCAGTACAGTAAGTCCAGTTATGCAAGTCTGCACAGAAATTTGTTTATGACCTCAAGCAATCACTGCATTCCCAAAATCTACCTACAATTTGCTACTGAATATTCACAGGTTACACAAGTATGGAAAACCCAACTGACCAAAGGGAAAAAAGAGCCTAGGACCGTGGATTTTTCTTTTGTGAGAGATCTCTTGTCAATACTGATCTCAGTAGAAGCACGACATTATTTAATAAGTCATGTTTTTCACAGAAATTTCTAGGTAATCACAAAGCCAATGCTTCCCCCAATACAGTGTTTATCTTGCATATACCCCTATTTTCTGGCAAGGGGATCAACAGCTAGTGCCCAGACAGAAGAGCTGGGTCTGGGTATGCTCATTTTTGAACTGGAGAGATTTAAAAGCAGGGACACTGTTAATAAGAAATTTCTTAAGATATTAGTTTGCTCAGGCAGCATAACAATGAACTCTTAGGTACCAGAATCACAGCTTCTAATTCCTAAGTAAGATTGGTAACTGGCAAAAGATAAATTCTATGTCCTCTTACTGTATATTCAATATTACACTATTTCTTTCCTACACAACTACTGGAATAGGCCCTCAAAGAATTGAAGACTACCAATCCTGGCCATAAAAAAGTCCAAAAGCTACATGTATAAAGAGACTTGTAATGTCTTGAAATCTATCTGTAATCTGGAGTTCCTGTCTTCCTCTAGCTTTTAGAGTTCAGTTTTTTCAAAAGTGGGTAATACAATCAGATCTCTAATAAGAGTCTACAACGAATACCATTTACATGGCTAAAAGAGTTAGAAAAAGGCTTTCAGTGAAAGCAGTACTTTTGCACATACAGTGGGAGCATTTGACCTAAATAACGAGGAATAACCGATAAGGCTAAAAAGCAACAACAGTCCAGTCTGCCACTGTATTTCAGCATAGCACAATGGAAAAGATTTCTCACTAACAGAGGCTGAAGCCAGCTTAGAACACATTGGTTTACTGCAGTCTTGGATCACCAAGCAGTCTGCATAAGATTGCTAAAAGAAGCAGATGCATACCTTCTATACTGCAATGTCCAAAAAGGCTTCTCTGCACAAAAACTTTCTAGAAATCTCTGCAGGTTTTCACACTTGCATCTGAAATAAATTTGAGGCCCTTAAGTCTAGAGCTGAGACTTATGCATTTCACTAGTAACATCTTCCCATAAAAATGTCACCTGCAAAGTTCACAGGGAAGGCTGCAAACAAAACTTGCACTGAGGAACAAGGATTGTTCTGACTGCTACAATTCTAGTCAGTTACCTGGCAAATGAAAAGTCAGTTTTGCCTTATTTTTATTAAGAGACACTAGCGACTTAACAAAGCTACCAACAAACCTAAAGCACCGGAACTGTTGTATTTCCTCCTTGACAAGTGGCTCTGTTTACTCGGTCTAAAGGAAACCAGAGGCTGTCTTTCTGCTCACACAAAAGCAGAAGTCTCTCTCAAAGCATCAAAGGGCAAAACAACGGCTCAAGTCTCCCAAGTGGAAGCACTAGCTAAACACCACACACCTCTACCACGTAAAAAACCACCTCATGATAAATTTCACACCGCTGTCTTCACTTTTTCCTTTTGAAGCCTTAAAAGTGAAGAAATACAAAGGCTACAACCTATGCTACACAACCTTCCTCTCTAGGGCAGATGATCAGAGTCCATTCTGGAAAGTAAACGTCTGTAAGGAGGAGGCTCCCGTCGCTCCAACTTCGCCACACGGGCCCACAACAGAAAGTAGAAATTGCCCGACCAGCAGCACAGCAGGGAGAACCAGCTCGGCGCCGGAGAGGCAGCGCGGCAGGCAGAGGCGGGGAGCCGCCGGCTGCCCCTCACCTTCTGGATGGAAGACTTCCCGCTGCGCCGCAGCCCCATGAGCAGAATCCGCGGCTTGGAGTCCGCCCCGCCCGCGCCGCCGCCAGGCCCGCCCGCGCCGCCCCCGGGCCCACCGGGCCCCGGGCCTCCCTCCAGCTCCGCCTCCTCCTCCTCCTCCCCGTAGCCGAAGTCCTTGGGGAATGAGTCCGCAGCCCCGAAGCTCCCCCCCACCAACGCCGGCTCCTCAGCTGTGCCTGGCGCGCCCGCCCCGCCGAACTGCAGCGCCATGTCCGCCCGAGCCCGCCGCCCCGCAGCCGCCAGCGCCCGTCCCGGGGCCTCCTTCTGCTCGCCCGGCCCAGCCCGGCACGGCCCAGCCCGGCCCCGATTGGCCGCTGTCAGGCTCCGCGCCGCCGATTGGCTCGGGCGGGCGGCGAGCTGGGAAGGCTCCGGTCAGACGACCCCAGTCACCTGACGGCGCTGCCGCACGTGAGCGCAGGGGCGGAGCGGCGGCCCCGGGCGGAGCGCTCGGCGCGGCCGGAGCGCGGCGCGCCCGTGCCCCGGCCCTGCTCCCGGGAAGCGCCGGTGCCGCCCCTCCCGCGGCAGGAGACCGCGGCCCCGGGCGACGCGCCCGTGCCCCGGCCCTGCTCCGGGAAGCGCCGGTGCCGCCCCTCCCGTGGCAGGAGAGCGCGGCCCCGGGCGGAGCGCCCGTGCCCCGGCCCTGCTCCCTGCCGGTGCCGCCCCTCCCGCTTCGCTCCAGGCGCAAACCCAGCCGTGGCAGGGGAGCTTTCTCCGAAGCGGCCGCGTAAGAAAGCAATAGTCTTCGTTACCTTGCGAAGCGATAGTCTTCATTAAACAGTCATTAATTTTCTTCTAGCAGCCGTGGTGCAAGCCTGCACTGAGCTGAAGTTTTAACAAATCTTTGATATTTCATCACAATCCTAATTTAAGGTTGGCGACATCCAAGTGCTTTGAGAGGGAAGCAAATACAGTTATGAAAATTGAAGTTTGATTTACTTCCCCGGCACCGACAGCTCAAGTCCTGCCCATGCCTGTGAGGGCTGGACTAACACCTTCACCTGCCTTGCTGCTTCTTTGGCAAGACACGCCAGTCCCATCACTCAGAAACACGTTCAGCTGTACAACACCTTTCCCACAGCATCACCCTCTCCCCACTTCCACATGGTGCAAGTTAATGCTTAATGTTCTACCTTACATTCAAGGGAACGTTCTTCTGTCCTTTATTCCAGAGGTTGGGGAAATTTATTTTTTTGCCTTTCTTGTTTGGCTTCGGTTTGTTGGGTCAGGGCAGGTTTTTTTCCCTAATTAATGCTTTACATATATAAAACAGTATTTTCCCCTCATTTTACCTCTCTTCTGGTCTATTTAGGACAATAGATACAGTAGTAAGGTAAGCAATTATTACATTCACTAGCCTTTGATTGCAATGACTAATGAAAGTTCTGATCCATCCTACCATATTTTCAAGATAGTTTAACTTCCTCATTTTCAGGATGGGTTTTGCAGACTAACAGCCAATAAACTGAATACATAAGACAACTGCATTTCACTTCCCTCTTCCTTTATTTCTGTTGTCATCAGCTGCCTTTAAAGTACTTAATTTTAGGTTAGGAAACAAATACAGCTCTTTAAAATATTACTACTCTTTTATTTTTAGGGGGTTTTTATAAATGACTACTTTGCATTTCAGAAGAGTCATAAAACCAGTTCAGGGAAGGGGAGAGGGAACACAGGCAAAACTAATAATCAAAAGTCACACCCACATCCCACCCCACTGGGATTTTATTTTCCTTGTTAGATGAATCAGAAAGCAGAACTCTCCACACTGTAGTCTTATATGTGCCACTCTAATTACACAGGACTTCCATCACAAGTAAGACTTTTGTATTACGTTCAGAACTGCACAGGCAGCCTCTGGATCAACTCTCCAAAGCCCAGTTTCTGAGATGGGAGCAGAGCCATGAACTGCATGGAAAGAAGACACACCTCATGCAGATTGACATGTAAATTCAGTAGGTACTGCATTTCAACACTGTGCTGTATCCATCACTGAACTATACTTGCTCATTTTATGCCCTTCTCAGTAGTGTTTCCCAGCAGCTTCAGTAGAAGTCTCACCTCAGTGCTGAGTACAAACATAGAAAGTAATTTGAAGGTCCTGCTTTAATTTACAGTTGGTCCATCAGTGCCATGTCACTCCTTTCAGCTAAAGGAAAACAGAGACTGATCCATAGCTCAACAGGACCATTGATGTGAAAATTACATGAAGTTGGCAAGCACAGTTATCTAAAAGTTAATCATAATTGTCATCTTTTCTTAAACACAAAAAGCAAGAACGTTGGCCAGTATGCTTAACTCAGCAGTTGCCAAGGCATCTGCGTGCTCATGGTAATGCATTCTTTCTTTAAGATGATGAAGCAACAAAGTAGACAATGCAGAGTTCACACACAAGACAGCATTTCTCAGGAAGCCCTTTATTAAGTCAAGGCAATAAAGAAAAAAACTACTGTTATTCACCATGCTTCTCATCTTGAGGTGGTTCATACTGAGCCAGCTGTGGATTAAAGAAAGGAATTTAGTTAGTAGCAATATTTCATGTAACACTCTATATTAAGAAGTGAAGGAAATTGCATGGTCTGGACTTGTTCAATTTACTTTACTCATTTTAACTCATCCTTATGCAAGTCCATTTTCAAGTCAGGCAATAAAGTAACCCTTCTCCCAAAACATCCATTTCCCACGCTGTATAACCATGCAGCCATAACAAAGTGATTTTTAAATGCACTTTGAAGCACATGTGTCTTGCCCTTAACTTTTTCCCTGTTTCTAATTCTAGCAGTCTAAGTACTTTCATCTTAAAATAGTGACTAGGGTACTATAAACTTTCACTGAAACATCATTAAATGAAACAGTCAGTCATTCTCATTGCAATAGTATCCACCTAACATTTCTTGTAATCTTTCTAGCTTCCATTTTGCTTTCTGGAGAGTATAGCCTGGGCAACTACATACTTAAATATGACCTTTACTTGTAAAGTTACTACCAAAGAAAGATACAAAGTTGTTCATATGACCTCAGTGGCATTAAAGATTAGGTCAAGCTTCAAAAACAGTTTAAGAATTATGGCCATCTCTCTAAAATATGCAGGTTCAGTTTACTCAATTAAGATTTCTCCCCTCTGCAAACTGCAGAGTAGGTTAAAAATAAACAAAGTACATATAAATAAAATTTTTAAAAAAGCCTAAATAAAAAAGCATAAATAAAAATTAAAAATAATAAACAAAAGAAACCCATCTGTTCCTTCTACCAGCTACAGTAAATTGCAGCACTCTGCTACTAACAAGAACCACTAAAATAGTATTTTTTTTATTGTTGTAGACTTCACTACAACAGATGACTAGTACACAACCCAAAGTCAGTTTTCTTTTCTGCCAAGGACCTAACTGTTGACTTCCTGTCCTCCTCCCAACACACAAAAATATCTGACATTTGTGTGATGAATGGAACAGCAGTTACCAATAAAAGCACAAATAAAGACATGTATTTTATGTTAGAGGACTGCTACAAGAGAATGGTAGTGTTCTCCCTGCATGCTGAGTGAACTTCTACAGTATGTCAGAATGATGGGCATGGCATTGTAGAGGAAAAAACAGGAAGAAACAAAACACACTAATACTGGGAAATATGTAAAGGGGTTATTATTTAAAGAATGAACAGGAAAGCACCAATGAACCCATGATTCCAAAAGGCTTACTTTCCTGCAACAAGTTTTGACTTCTTGAAAAGACTTCTTTAAACAAAGACCCAGATTACTCTGCTCTTATCTATTTATTATCAGCTGCATTTTTAAGCCTGCTAAAACAAGTGGCTGGTCTACTGCTACTCTGCCTAAAATGCTGTTCTTTGCCATATTTCCTAGTCAGAAATAACAAATGTAGCTGAAGACTCATAATGAGTAACAGGGAAGGAGAATTACTAGGACAGCAAGATGGCACTCAGGATTCTTGGGCATTACCTCTTTGTATTTCTTATCCATTCTCACAGAACTAAAGTGAGGTGGTTGTCTCCCAGTAAAAAACTCAGGGGTATTCACATATAACAACCACCATCCTCTTTCAACAAATGCCTGGAAATCTGCAGTGGCACATAAACTACTAGCATATTTAATATCTCACAGGTTTCCTTCTTCAGTGTTGTTAGAAAGCTGTGCACATCTCAGAGCTCTCTCAGACAGCCTGTAGACCCACTAAAGAACAGCCCTACCCTAGCTAGCATTTCAGATTCATTGTTGTTTCAGATAAATACCAAGGCCACTTTAAGTAATAAGCACAAATTATTGTTCCACACGGATCTAAGTGCCTGTGTAAGATCCTGCCATGTGTAAGTCTGTGCCAAGTGACACAAAGTAATACATAATATTCCTCCTTCAATCTGCCTTTTGAAAGGCTTTATACTGGATACAGTACCTTACTTGTTTGTCAAAACTGTCTTGAAAGCATGATCTACATAATATCAGATAACTTAAACACATCCAGACAAGACTCAATACAACGTATTGGACATAATAATACACTTTCCCTGAATAAATAAAATCCCTAGTTTAGCAATATTTTATGTTATATTCTATAAGAAGTGTTCCATAAAAAATAATAATCTTTACTACAATGAATTCTATCAGCATTTCTCAGTCATGAGGTTAAACAATGCAACAACAACTATCTATTACTCTAATGGAAGAAAGTTAGCTCTATTCTAAGTAATTAAAATATTTTTCTTGTTGTATAATATGGAACTATAGAGTAGCACCAAGTAGACTTTTACCTTGGTTTTCAGTTTTTTATTTTCTTCCAGCACAGCTTCATATTTTTCTTTCATCTCTGCCACTTCCAAGCGAAGTGCCTCTATTTCCGGATTCTCAGGAGCTGAAGCTCCCAGATGATGCTTCAGAAAACTGATATTTAGATGTTAAGTATTTCTTCAGTTGTATAACTACATTTTAGTTTTAACACCCGTGTTGAAGTTAACATTGCAGTACACATGGTTGAAACTGCAGTAAACCATTGAGATTACTACAGGAAAAATGTTACCAAAATAAGAGAGCTTTTCAAAGTCATAGCTATATTCCTTAAAAACAAACAAAAACAAGACATCAGTACAAATCCTTATGTGTTACTACCCCCTTCTTCTCTTTTCTCTTCTTAATGGCAGATGTTTTGAAGAATTAAAAGAAATAACAAAAAAAGAAGCAATACCAAAAAATGTAGGCGGCTTAAAAACAGCAAGAAACCAAATATGCTAGTTTCCTTCTTCGTGTATTTAAAAACAAACAAAAAACGACAGAAGAAGGAAGTGTGAAGAAGCAAACTTCAGAACCCATTGCCACTGCAGGTACTCAGACCTAATGCTGCAGGTCTCAACACTGACATGGCCTCTAACTCAGCTTCGTAATTGCTGGCACACTGAAATACCCTGCTCTCTTGCACCCTGTCAGACTCTGTTAGCTTGTGAAATGCAATCATTAGGTAAAGTGCATTGATAAAAGTCACGTTCTCAATGCAAGGCTTTGAAATGAGCCTATCCAGTTCACCCACGAGTCAGAAGCAGTACTGTGCATGAAGTCTCGATAAATAAGTCACAGCAAAGAAAAAGGATACTCCAGTGCACTATCTGGTTTCTCTGGCTCTTCATATAAGGCTACCAACACTGCAAATAGAAAATATTCAACAATTGCAAGAAGTTCATGCAACTCTAAGTCTTTAAAACGCATACCAGCAGTCAGAAAGCATACATGTTGCATTTTTCCATTGAACAAGATTTTCACCTGTACACTTTGACATAAGCAACAGGTCTGCTGTATCAGAGGGGACAGAGCATTCCACCTAGTAACAGCTAAAGAGTTTTCTTGATCCCTAACCCCACATAGTCTTTGGCTATTCTAACACAGAACACGAAACAGCCTGAAACATTTTTACATATGCCATATGCACGCTAGTACTAGCTTTTGCCAGTAACACTGAAATTCTAACTATATTGTTCATAAAACTTCTACTTAAGCTACATCTCTAAACAGCGGGACATCGGCAGTTTTGTAACTTCCTGCAGAATAGCAAACCTTCATTGAGCATCTACAGTTACAAAACTAAATAGCTACTAAATGGCTAACTGACCCTGATAATCTTCACGGATGGGTGCTCTAATGGCCAAAACAACAGACAAAAGCACCAATACCCCGATAATTTAAATAAAAATAGCCACGTACATAGCAACATAATAGGAAACTGTCACATGAAGACCCAGGAAGTTCCCAAACATAACCACTCCCTGCTCCCCACAGGGGCCACGTTTCAGGTGTCTGAACTACACAGCCAAACATGTTTTCAGCTAAGTACCTCCTAAGTTAAAAGCAAAATTAGGCTGCCTCACTGCTTGGGAGACTTTTTCGCCATCCCATAGGATGGTACTGCGATTGAAAAATCAAATGGTACTCACGCACCAGGCCAAGAGTCTTAGTGCAGCAGCTATTCGCTTGACATCCTAGATCTGCTGCTCCCTCTTTAAACAGCATATTTTCAACATTAGCAGAATATTAATTTTTTCAATATTAACACATTTTTGCCACATACTACTGGAAGGGTCTCAAAAAGATTTTAGAAGGATTTCAAAGACACCAAGTCACACGTATCAAGTTTAGCATCACCATTTCCCCCCAGTTAGATAAGGAGAATCATTAATCCAGAACTTAGTTTCATTCATTCTAGAAAAAAGCACTAAGTTCCATCCACGAAAGGGTATGAAACAAAGAGGGTTTTTTTAAGATAACATTTGCTGTTATTTCATCTCAAGCACTGACTTCCTCTGTAGAAGAACTTCACGAAAAGCACCCATGGAAAGAAAATAAACTAACCAAAAGCACGCATTGGAAGTAGCGCTTTGGCCGGAGGGGTCTCGGACACACCAGGCGGGGGAAGGGGCCCGCCTTGCCGTTCTGCACGCACCTCGGACACCGGCCCCCCCAGGTGAGCGTGCGGGGCAGGAGCGCTTTGCAGCTCCCGGCGCTCGTTTCCAGCGGCCCGCTGCCCTCTCCCGGCGTGCACCGCCTCGCCGCGCACCTCGGACTCCATTTCCAGGCCACGCCGAACCAAGTTTTCCAGGCGAGTTCTTCTGCCGGCCGCCTCGCCGGACTGAGGAGAAAAAGCGATCGGCGAGGCGAGGCGGGAAGCCAATGGAGAGCGGCACGGCAGCCCGAGGGACGACCGCGACACTGCCGAGCGGGGCGGCAGCTGCTCCGCGGGAGCGGGACACCCTGAGAGCAACGGCACCCGCCCGCAACGCCCCCGAAGAGCGCCCGCCGGCCCCTCGGGCGGCACCACGCGAGCCGGAGGCTTACCCTTGGTGAGCATGTCCAGCACTCCCGACTTCTCCAAGTACTGGCGGAACTGCTCCCGCTTGGAGTCCGCGGCCTGAGGGAGGACGCCCACACGGTCAGATCGGCGGCGCGCCCCGCCTCGACTGCGGAGGCGGCCCTTTGGCACAGGCCGGTCCCGCTCTCCGCCGCGGAGGCGGCACGAAGGGCCGAGCCGGTGTCGGTCGGCGGCCCGCCGCTCCGCGCAGCCGGCACAGAGAGCGGCACCGCGCCCACGCCGGCGCGCTCCCCCCTACCTTGTGGTGCGCCATCTAACCCGCACGGCGCCTGCCCCGGCCGCGCGCCTGCGCCCTGCGCTTTAACGGCGCGAGCGCTTCCCCGCGGTTACCACGGCGACGGCGCCGCGGCAACGGCCGGGGCCTCGCCCCGCGGGCCCGGCCCCGCGCGCCGCCCTCGCTCCCCTCGGGGCGGCCTCGCTCTCTCTGAGGGGCAGCCGAGGCCGGCGCTGTGCCTCTTTTCTTCTTCTCTGGCCCTCGTCCCGCTCTGCCCTGCTCTCCTCGCCGCGGACGGTTCCGGGGCTCGGCTCAGCCTTCGGGGGCTGTGCCGCCCGCTGCCCGGGACGCGGCCCCGGAGCTCCCCGCGGAGAGGGCGCGCTGTGGCGGCGGCAGTCCGGAGCGGAGGGCGGCGGAGCGCGGCCGGCCGTGAGCGGGGCCCGAGCGTGTCCGAGCGGCGGTGCCGCGCCGTTCGGGCGGAGCGGCGAGCTGTCCTGCGGGTCGCTGGAGTTTTTTTGTGTTTTCCATCTGGTTTGTGAAATTCAAAGTGTCTGATTAATGAATTTCAGTAGCTGCAGCTGACTGAAATCACAGGAGAAAGTTGCAGCGAGCTGCAGCTGCAGGAGTGCCTACCCAAGAGGCTCTGAAGAGTGATTGATACGTGATGAAATCTTCACGTCGAAAGGAAAGTCTTTTGCCTTAGCCTGTTTTAAAAAAGCAGAAACACTTATACCTGTTTATTTTTTTGACACGCTGACAGATAAAATCTATTTATTGTAGAAATAAAATTTAAAAAAAAATAAGCACCAACCAAATGATCTTGCACATATGATGTTAGGGAGTTTTCACGCTTTTTCTCCATGCTCTTCTGCAATGTTTATATTTTTCAGTAGTTACTCTTAATTTCGGTAGGTGCTGTGATTAAACAGAATGTTTGACTCATGGCCAGACATAAAAAAGTTAGTAAAATTCTTCTCACAGCAGCAGAAAAATTCTTTTTTAACTTGTCTTGAACAACAAAAATACAAATGTCCTATCCCATACAGGAACATCTAAATGCTAACTTTCTATTATTTAGACAGCAGGAACAGAGTGCATTAAGTATGAGGCTTTTTATTACGGAGAGATGAAATGCAAAATAAGCATTAGCAGTTATTGCCCACGGAATTTTACACATCAAGAAATGCAAAAATCAAAGCCACAGCAGCAGTGTTAATGCCTAAGTCACATTATAGAGTTATGTACATTCTAGTATATTATACAACCTTAAACTTTACAGTGTAAACACAATTATGGAGGGCTGTATTTATGTGTACACACAGAAGTGAAAAGGATACTTACTGGAGAGAAATCTACAGCGAATCGTTTTAATAGTTCTTGTGTGTATTTCTTACATGGACAGTACCAAATTCATGTTGCTGCTGCAAGCAAAAGAGCCTTTTAGGTTTTCTGGCTCCTTTTTTGCTAGTATTGTACAGTTTTCAGTCAATCTGAAACATGGCTGTCTGGTAAGCATAATGACAGTGCACTTGAGGAATTTAATTGTGCTGTAACATCATTATGCTGTATCTCACAAATTATTTTTTTCAGTACATGAACAGTATGTGAAATCTGCTAGTAAAAAATACACACAAATAGTAATGCATTTCAGCTGTGACCACCTCACCAAGTATTTACAGTGTTTCAGTGCTGTGCAACTCAAATAAATGTATTTCACACACAGAAAGCTTGATTACAAATGTACCATAGTATTTGTTCATCTTTGCCTCCTTTATTATTTCAAGATATTTCATGGAACTTCCTTTACACCATATGGACCTGAACAGTGAGTGGATAAATGTCCTAATATTTTACTATCCCCATAAAAAGCATAAACAAAAATGCTCCTCCTAAACAGGTAGAAGCTTTGTTTGATTGAAAAGTTTATCAGAATTCAGGAGAGAGACAAACAGAAAAGGAGTAATTTTACTGTTTGATAAAACTTTTATATATCTTTTGACATTGTAACTGAAATCAGGAAGGTACTGCCATATTTGCCTCTTTTTTTTTTTTTTTTTTTTTTTTTTTTTTTTTTTTTTTTGTTCTCTGTCTTAGGTTTTTCGTTTGTTTGTTGTTTTTGGGGTTTTTTTTCCATAGTTAGCCTTCTGGTTTGTGAAATTCAAAATGTCTGATTAGTGAATTTCAGTAACTTGTTTTCTGATTTTGCTGTCTTATTATTGTTATGAAAAATGTCAAAAGTAAAGCTCACAACATGCCTGTAATTCATGATGTTTTAAAAAATTAGTGGTGTATTGAAGAAATTCACTTTGATTTTTCTGCTGAGGAAGTCAGTGGCAATACACTGAAAAAAAAGTGTACCATGAAGCCAACAAATTTTAGTGACCGGTTTTGTAAATGCTTTTTCTCTTTGTATTTACAACAATTTGAATAAGTTCAACATTCTGCTTTCAGTCAGCTATCAAATGTCTGTTTGAATTCTCAAATTGATTAGGCAGAGACAAGTTTACCAATATGTTCTTCTGAGAGCCTCTTTAGCCTAATTTGATTTACTGGTCTTTGTAAAAAATATCATTGGACTGTAAATTTTGTCATAAAACCAGCTGTGATTTTATGCCTGACTTTTTCCTAATATGTGGATTGAGAGGATGTGTGTTTTCCTTTTTAGCTGGAGTGTAGAAGTTTATACTGAGGTCTGTGCCACATTTGCATTACAAAGGAAGTAAAGAGACTGTTTAAAATTACTTAGCTACTCTTCAAAGAGTTACACGACTTTTCTACCTATGCAAAGAGCTGGTTAAAGTTGAATTATTTAGCTGCACTTACACATAGGTCTGGGTTATGTCTCTGTTCAGGAATTATCCCAGCACTGGTTAGTGCAGCTAATGAGTTAGTGCAGTTAATGAGTGCCGCTAATGAGTTAACTCACACTATATTTGAAGGTCAGTGGGGGCACGCCTACTGCTGGCATTACTTGACAGTGACTGTTGCCGAGACAGAGAGAAAAGCTTAGGACTATTCCAGTTTCTGCTTTGTGTAGACTCTGAGCTCACCACCCCCATAGAATCAGAAGTGTCTGGTCGGCTGGAATTTTTTCCATCAGCATTGTAAGGAATTTGGGCTTTGTTTACACTGAAACTGCTTTGTCTTCTGTCACCGTTCTTTGGAAGAGAATGTGTTGGTGCTCCTGTGCTCTCAACCACTGCCTGTCGTCTAGAACTGGTACAAGGGAAAGTTGTACCAGCTTGCAGTGAAGTTTGAGATGGCATCTCAGCAAAGCTTCTCAAGTACATGTTTGAGGTGGTATCTGCATTCTGAGTATCAACAGGAAAATGTTTCTTTTCTGCCTCTTCTTGTGCATCATGCCTCTCAGTCCAAAGCTCGCCAAGAAAGCCTTCATTATTATTTGTGCTAGCATTTTGAGTCTGATTGTCCAAAGCATTTGTGGCTGGCCTCTTCTTTGGAGATTTATTTTCCTGATTGCAATGGGTGTAATTGCTGCTGCTTTCTGTATGGTTATTTTGCACAGACTGAAACACAGAAGGAGAATTTAAAACTGGGTAGAGCATACTGTCAGTTTGCTTTTCCATCAAAAAGGTATAATTGCTAAGAGCACAAGGAAGTGTTTTCTGAGGGGTGGTGGATATTCCCAAAGAAGAGTGTGGTATCACAGAGTATTTCTTAGATTTGTTTATGTAGAAATTCTCAGAGTCATCTTTAGTTTTATTCTGCTCACAGAGTCCCATTTTAATTTTTCGGAATCCTAAGTGGATAATTTCTAGAATATTTAAAAACAATGACACGGTTGCTATTGATTGCATAAATAATATAAACACTGTCTTTTCTGTTGGTCTAGATACAAAGCAGTCAACTGTGTTTGGACATGGGTCTCTCTGACATTTATAAAGGGGATCTAAGTGAAAACCATAAAGAAGATACTGCCCAATCATAAAACCAACTTCCACTGCAGATCTTGTGAAAATATGTATCACATAAGTGCAGAGCAAAGAGCCTCTTAGGGGTGCTTTGTTCAGCTTCCTTTGATCCAGTTGCCGGAGCTCCCTCTCCAGTCTTTTACGATTTTCAGTCATTTCTAATTCAGTGCTTTCAAGTTCCACCCTTACCTGAGCTTTCTTTTTTTGCCTTTCTTTTTCCAAGGCTCTTAGTCTGTATAAGGCATGACCCATATACACCAAGGAAGGGGAAGACACAAATATAACTTGCAAGACCCAGTATCTTATAAGAGAGATGGGAAAAGCCTCGTCATAGCACACATTTCTGCAACCAGGCTGCTCAGTATTGCATATGAATTCTGATTGTTCATCATTCCAAACATCCTCAGTTGCCACTCCAAGGACAAGCATTCGAAATATGAAGAGGATTGTTAGCCAAATCTTTCCAATAATAGTGGAATGAATGTGGACCTCCTCTAAAATGCCTCCAAGGAAATTCCAGTCTCCCATGGTTATTCTGCCATATTAACACTAAAATGTATGAGAGAAACAAGTATCAAACATTGTAAAACTTGCATTCCTTCCTTAATATATTATGAAAAACACAACACTGGGAAAACTATCATTATCTCACATTGTAACCATGGGAACATGACCAACTGCTCTTTGATAATTAGGTATTATTTTCTTTCACCTGTGAGATGGAGAACTGCATCATCTGCCTGTGCCTGCTTTATTATTAACATCCTGATAAGCACTTCACTACAAGATATTAACCACCCTCAGACCAGTGGAAACTAGAGTGCCTGACTTGTAGCAGGATTTAAAGAGCATTATGTGATCCATTTGAATATCATCCAATAACAATGTGAGAGTAGTACATTTATATTTAGGTCACTTATTGAGGTACAGGAATATTTGCTTGTCCTCTTTTTTGGATGTTCCAAGCCCCATGTCACAGCTGTAATTATAGCAGTTCAATTACTGTTTCACAGAGAAAATTGGTTATATAAAGGAGCTCAAGAGGGAATAAATTATCTCATGGAAATGTCAATATTAATTAAAAAGACATGTTTAAGCATATCATTTTGTGCAGAGATTTGCTTTTTGTTTATGGATGCCAACAATAAATAAATAGAACTGCTGTAATTGGTTTGCTTCCCCTGATCAATGATACCTGCATTTGAAATAGTGAATAGAATGCCTAAGTGTCAAGCATTACTATTTTTGGTCACAACTCTTTGAAAAATAAATTATTTGCACAAAAATTCTTTACCAGCATTTTCCTACATGACTGTCATCTGAATACAGATAAACTGGTAATATATGTGTGTAACTGTACATCTCACCTTTCTTTCATGTGGTTTTCCATTAACAGGATACTACATTGTGGTCAAAATTTTAAATTCTTTTTCAATATTTATGTTATTCTATACATATACAATTGTAACAATTTTTCTTATGTGTGGGGACAAGCAAAACACTTGTAGCTAAGAAACTTGTCATTGTATGTACAGCACAATTCAATAGAATAGTATCTTACTTTGGTATTTTTAAGATAAAGGTGCTTTAGCATAGCATTTTCTCTTCAAATGGGATTAATCTTCACCCTATAAAACAGGAGTGCTAACAAGTCAACAGAAGCTGGAATTTTATGATTGCAATATTGATGTCCATAGAGGAATCTTTACATTAAGCCTTTTAAACATGAAAATACTTTTGCACATCAGTATACGAATGAGCAAGTTAAACATTTTTTAAAGAGAAACAAATTAAAAAGAAATTATAAAGTAAAAACAAAACATACCTTTCTTTACAAAAATATGTAAAACTAAACATCTGCGACGTCCAATAAAAAATTACAACCCCTGCCATCTTCCATCTATGTGAGTAAATTGACACATTATAAGCAGTTTATTTTGCTACAGTAGCAAATGTAGTGTGAGCTTTGCACATGGAATTTATATTTGCTGGTACTGAAGGGAGGAGAAAATCGATCTATTGTTCAATCTACTCCGCTCCAAGCATAATTTAACTATGAAAGATTATCATTTTTAAAAAGCCAGAAATAAAAAATCTACAGCTTTAATTTCTTTGAGATTATCTTCACTTTTGCCTCAATAGCACCTTTTAAGTTTTAGGAACAGTCTCAGCCTCAGAAAAACAGAATAAACCAGAACTTTCTGACTTCATTTTAGTTTACACATCTCTCTAGCAGCAGACATTCCGCTTGCCTCTGCAAAAGGAGGTAAATCTTCCCAATCATTATAATTGTAAATTCCTGCAGTCAGTCTGTCCTGCAGCAGCTTAGCACCACACTCCTGATGCAAAAAATCAGTGGATGTACTTTTGGCCACTCCAAACTCACTCCCTCCTCATACACAGCACCTCTTATATTCTATGATTCTACACTTCTTATTTATTCTCCTGAGACCACATTACTTTTCATACTGACATCATTAAAAGATTCCTGAACTTGACAATGATTTGACTCTGTTTTCCCCATCCTTATAATTCAGTATTTCTTTTTGGGAGCAAATCATTATAATTCCTGTCTTAAATGACAGACATACTAAATATGTAATTCTTCTTGGTCATGATACTTACATATAGCCTATAAAAACTGACTAGGTGACACAAGTTCCATTTTTAATCCAGACCTTAAGCTACCCATCTGCATTACCTCAGCAGCAAAAATAGGGAGAACAGGCTGAAATATTTTCTGTTATAAAAGAGCACACAAACTGTCTGATCTCAAAGAACATTTCAGGCACTGATGGTAAACTGGGGAAACCGTTTCAAACACTCTAAACATAAAATGTTGGGCAGGGGGGAGGGAAAAATACCTTATTTTACAAAAGGGAAAAAAGAAATAAATATGTCTATTGTGTGTACAAAAATGTTTTCTGGAGCCAGCATTAGCAGTGCAGTGGCCAAGGGCACAGCCTCATTAGGCACGCCTGGTGTTAATGTGCAAGTCCACTGCTGGGACCAGTATGAGGTACGAAGCATATCTAGCACTGTGATGTCCTTTTAGGTGATCCTCATCAGCACTCTGCAAAAGTGTAGGTCTGATTCAAATGTCCTGTAAAAGATAAATAAAATTCCTCTGCTGAGAACTCTAAAAAGATAATCATTATCTTTTAATTTTGGTGCTGAAGATCAGTCAATAGGTCATGTCCAATTTCACACTTGACAGCTTGCCTGAAAGTACTCAATCATTTTGGCAAGCTAGCAGTTTCCAGCCAGCCGTCTCTGTGAAGTACTTAAAGCAGGATTCTAAACATGTGTCTTCTATTGAGTACTTAAAGTAAGTCTCTAAATATTTTTCTGTTATTAATAAAACCCTCTAAGTCTGCTGAAGTGACCCACAGACACACACACACAACCTCCAGCTTGTACAGAGATGCTGAAGCTTTGTTTGAAAACCTGAAGTGTTTGGTGAGACTGAGCTGCCATGGCTGGAGATTTATTTGCTCTGTAAAACCTAAATATTAAAAAAAAACCCCATGTAACGATCCACAGTGTTCCAGGATGCACTATCTCTTTTAAAATAGTACTACAGTTAAATGACAACTTGACAACTCATGAGGGAAAATAAATTCAAATGCCAACAATAATTTTATAGTGTTGATGCTGCTTTTTACCTTAGTTGAGACAGCTTGCAACTCTGACTATCTACATAAACTGTTCATAACACCTTCAGAATTTAGTAATTTAGTGTTGTATGGAGAGGCTATTAATTTTTCTTCCAAGTCTAGAAGCTACCTCACTGGCTTTTTATTCACTGGAAAACACTCTCTAAATTTTTATGACTATATTGATTTTTCTTAGCTTAGGGTCAAACGTCACAGTAATCTTCCAATCATGGAAATAGTCTCTGAAGATCTAGGCCTTTTCATTTCTATACATCAATAATGTGCACTTTATGTGTACAATTGATTTTAATTTTCTGCTGTTATCTGTCTGACCCACAAAGGACAGCTAGATTAGCAGAGGCACAAACATCAGTGACGGGTTCAGGCTAACATGAACTCACTCCCATAGTTTTCTTTCAGTAAAGAAGGAAGACCACAAATGATAAACTGCAACAATGAGAAATTTGGACAACTCTGCTACTCCATGTTGTCTTTAGGATCACCAAATTCAGCAGTATTGTGTTTGAAGGCAGACCAGATACTACCATATGAAGACTGAAACACATACTCTCCAAATTAGTGTAGTTTCTGTGCTGCCTTATAGATTCAGTCTTTATTGCTAAGATACACATGCAAATCAGGAGGTGCACATTTATATTTTCACTTTCACAAGCAAAATTTCTGAAGATGCCCTGGCCTATATCAGAAAGTTTAAGGGGTTTTTTTTTACAGTTTCTGTCTTTATCTTAGTTCACTGTTGATAGTTTTTAATGCATTCCTCTCTTAGCTTTAAAATTTTGTATTTTCTGCATACTTTTATATAGCTTGCTGTCTATTCTCCTCTCTTAATCCCTTGGCTGTAAGATTTTATTTGTACATATACTGTAAGTTTCTGTGACTGCTTTTAGTTCTCTCTGACCTTGCTCCTCTTTACATTTTCAAGTTTCCATGTTACTTTATTAGGCTTCTTCTATTTTTTTTCTTCTTTCCTGCCAGTTCTGTATCCATCTGCTGGGCTCAGGGTCAGTGTCTGTGGTTGGGGTCAGGGGAAGGGAGATGGGCTTCACCTGGGAGCTGCAGCATCTAGGTTGTTCCCATGAGGTGTGAAAGTGGCTGAGCCAAGGATTGAGATCGGGTGGAGGAAGGGATGGGTTGGGGCAGCAGACGTGCAGCTACTGAGGCTGGGGTATACAAACCACAGCCTCTGTCAGGGTGCTCTGCTGTTCCTCCAGCTGTTTCAGCTCCTAGGCTGTTTCAGCTCTTTGGGCAGGTGTGTTCTGGAGTTTAGAGAATGGAGCTACCTGTCTGGGTAAGGCTTCAGGACCGGTGAAGCTTCGGCAGCCTATGTAGTAGAAAGTACACTTGTGACAGACACCCCCCAGTCAGGATCCTGGAGAGAACCCCCCTGCTGCATGACATCCCCCAAAATAAATCCACCAGCCTTGGTAGTCTCAGGGGTCTTCATGGTCTCAGTGGGTCTCAATGGTTTCCTTCCCATGTGTCAGAGACTCCCACCAAGATCAGGCTGAGTCCCCCCAGCCTAAATGGCACCCCCAAGTGGGTGGGAAACCTCCCTCAAGTGGGGCAGAGATCCTCCCAAATGGGTAAGACACACCCCACACCCCCCAAGTGGGGGGTATGGAGGGGAGCAGTGACATCCTGCAAATTGTGGGTGGGGGGACAGCCCGGTCCCCCCCAGTAAAGACATCAGCCCTGGCGTCCCCACAGTCTTCATGGTCTTCGTGGGTCTCGTGATCTTCTGGGGTTGGGGAGACAGAGCCCCCCCTTAGAATGGGGAAGACAGCCCCCCAAATGGGACAAAGACCCCCACAGAATGATGGGGGGTGAGAAGGACCCTGGACTGTCGACCCA